GCCCTCCGCGGGGGCCTCGGGTCCGTGCGCCCTCCTTCCATCTGACATCCTCCGTCCCTGGGGAAAGAAGCGAGAGAGCGCGGGGAAGAAGTCCCTGGGCGGGAGAGGCGACGGCTTTGCTAGGGCCGCCTGAGTGCCACGCGCACCCCGAGAGGGCAGTCCAGTCGGTCTTAGTGCCACCCCCCGGGGCCTCCGCTCCCTCATCCGAGCAATGCTCGTGGCCCGGGTAGGTCTGAGAGATCCAGGCTAGAGAGACGTGGGCAGTTCTGAGCCACACCACAGGGGCTGCGGTCCATGGCTGGGCCTGAAGAGCCAATCCTGAGTCCACGACAAATATGACCTTGAAGTTTCCAAATCACTCTCTTATCTGTTATATTAAAACTGAAGCAACTGCTCCTCCAAACAGCTTTCTCTGATTTAAATGTTTTTCATTCTAAGTATGGATCATTTGGGAATTTGATGCCAATACAGTTATGTTCTGGTTCTAAGTAAGAGCTGTTCCTCTCAAACATGAATCTAGATCCTTCACAAAGGCCATTGTTCATTTACTATTATTTTACTTTGGTTCTGCAGATTCAAATCTGACCACAACCCTAGGAAAAAGGAGACTCAAACCATATCTTAATCCAGATTATCATCTCTGGTCCTAGAGATTCAGGAGTGGCACTCCAAAGAAGGTGGTACTCAATTCCCTGACCACCCCAGCGCCGCAGGCCGGCACCCTGCACCAATTCTGCCAGTTGTTCTCGGGGGCACAGAAATGGATCTGATCTCATTCAGAACAGTGCTATCAAGTCTATTTATGTACTCCCCAGAGATTTCTCTGTCAGTGTTGGTACATCAAAGCTTTAGAGACCTTGGTGGCCATATAGTGGGAAATACGTTATCATCTAGTAGTAGAAGGCTGCTACTTCCATGTTCCTCCAGAACATCCACAGCAGCTGTTACAGTAACAGCCCAATGTGCCCCTCCCTCTGAATGTTCCTCGGTGTACAACCCTACCTGCTCTCCAAACGGAGCTATCTTCAACCTTCCTTCCTCTTACACCAAAAGAAGCTCTAAGAAGTAATCTCCTTCAGGATCCTGGTCAATGTCTCTCTTCCTCTCAAAGGAAAGCTGAACCCCAGCCTCTTTTCCTCAGCTCCCAGTTTCTCAGTTCCTCAGCCTCCAGCTCCTGAGTTGGCTCTCTGTCCACACTTTTTCTGCCTTTTCTGTCTCATGCCGCCACTTCAAATTCTAGAGTTGAGCAAAGGCTAAATGCTTCCCTCATTCCAAAGTATGCCCAGATGTCTAAGCCTGTCATTCACCTCTTAGCAAAACCTGGGCCCACTGTTACCTTAAACTCTGAATTTCAATTCCAGCTATTCCGATTCATGATGGAGAGTACCAAGCTGCACCCTCAAATTCTCAAACCAAAGCGGCATGCATTTACACAGGCCTTTTCCAGCCAAGGTGCACCCTGCCTCCTCTCTCAGCTTCATCCAGCCAGCCCTTCTCTGCAGAACACTAACCTCTTCACACTTGTCAGTCACACCTGCACCAGAGCAGGAATGTGATGGCGCTGGCAACCCACCTGCTGCTGTGACTGAGGGAAGGGGTTGCCAGGAACCCTTACCCACCGTGTTTATGCGCATTCAACCCACCACCATGGCCTCACCCCACTCTCATCGCTGCTCCAACTAGGAAGCAAGGAAGAAAGAGCGATCAACTGCCAGAAACAACAGAATCAAGGACCCAGAAGGCACACCCAGCTAAACGAGGCAGGGCTGTTTTCTTCCCAGTTGCCTTCATCAGAGAACTGCAAGGAAGATCTCCAAGACCCACCCCCATCAATCAGCCTATTTATCCTATAGCCATCCTGGTAGGAGCTGCCCTGCTGGGCTGAGCTGCCCATGCATTGCCGGTGAGGCCCCTCCTCTGCATGCCCCACTTCCTACACCACCCCGGGGAAGGGAGGCCAAGGCCACTGCTGGCTACAGCTTCCAGGAAGGGTTCCAAATAAAGCCAGGCTGACTCCTGAGGAAGTCGGCTTTGTTCTTTCAGGGATCACAGAGCAGCATCTAGTGGCCCTTCTGGGCAGCACAGATTACATAACTAGCACACAGCGGGGCACCAGAGCCTCTGTTTCCAACACCAGTAGTCTCATTAACACACAAGAGAGTCCTGGCACCATGATGGCTGGAGCCCAGAAGTTGCACCGAGGTGAGGGAGCCCGGCCCACGTCAACCCCCAGGCCAGCTGACACTCCCAGCTGTGCCTGGACTCAGCTCATGGGAGGCCTGGGAGGGGAATCTGTGGCACAACGTCTGTTCCTGGAGGTCTAGAGCAGCGCTGTCCAAGAGAAGGACAGTGTGAGCCACAAAGGAAATTTTATATTTTCTAGCATCCACATTAAAAAAGTAAAAAGACAGGTGAATTTTAATAATATATTTTATTTAACCCAATATACCCAAAATATTTCAACACATATATAAAAAAGTTATTGACATATTTTACATTTTTTTTTCCATGCTAAGCCTTCGGAGTCTGGTTTGTGTTTACACTTGCAGTGCATCACGGTCTGAACTAGTCTCATTGCAAGGGCCTGACAGCCACCCGTGGCCAGCAGCTACATATTGGACAGCGCAGGTCTAGAGGGAGTCAACCGACCAAGGCCCACAAAGGGAGCAGAGAGAAGGGCTGTTGCCCCGAGCTCCTCAGAACTGCCCCAGGTTTGGGAATCCCTCTCCCCTCTGCTCCAGACCTAGACTTCTTTGGAGTACTTTTAAGAAGTCATTTATTGAAGCAAACTCTTTCTGCAAGTAAAATACACAGAGACACAATACTAGGAGCTGAGAATGGCTGAACTGCTCAGATTGAAGAGGAGTTGGCAGGCCCCCAGTGGCCCCAGAATCTCTCAGAAGAACCATTCCCAGGGTCTGAGGCAACAGAAAATCACTGCCTTTGAAGACTACAAAAGGAAACTAAGCCACAACTGAATGTCAGGACTCTCCAGACACTTGCGCTTCCATTTCTTCCTATGACCCTCACATCACAATCACCTACCAGGGAAGCGTCACCCTCACTGAGTAGATGAGGAAATAGACTCAGAGGATCTTACTGCCCAAACCCACATGTCCTCACTGGACCATGTTGCCCTGGAGAAACAGAGATACCTGAACTCCATTTCCAATGCCAGACCTCACAAACTTTCTTGCCCAGAGCCCTCTAAATTTGGACCCCAAATTCAGCTAAAGGACTCCCATTACACAAATAAGATAACAGCTTTGGCCAGACTAGAGGGCTAGGCTACTGTTGGGCTACACAGAGCTGTTTGGACTTGCTCGGAAGCCCTCCAGCACTCAAGAAAAGACACCTTTTGGAAAAAAAATTATTTTTATTGGAACTCATCTGAACATCAGATATACCTGGTGTTGGTTAGCAAGAACCGTTTGTACATTTGATATTGATGGTGCCAAAACCAAAACAGTGACTGGACATGATGGGGAGAGATGTTGAGAACAAAAACCTGATTCTGGAGAGGAAAATAAAAGCCAGTCAGATTCAGTGAAGATGCAAAACCTAGTACAACAAAATCCTTTTACAAAATATAAATTTATTACGAAAACCTGGAAGGATAATCTGAGAAAGGGAGAGAAAGAGAAAAGGAAGCCAGCAGGAAGGAGGCAGGAGGAGGAGAGAAGAAAGGAGAAAAGACAAAGAGGAGATGAGAGAAGAAAACACAGTTAAGCACGAAAGGTGCGAGAAGCTTACCTGCCCAAATGGCATTAAAGCCTTGCTATGTAATCGCATCAGAAAACAAAGCATGCGGACATACAATGCTCTACCTCCCATCCGTTCGAGTTCTAAGAGGTAAATAAAGAAGCTCCCTGGGAAGGGGACATAAGGTTGCTCGAAAACCCAACAAGGAAAATTAAAAAAAGAAAAGAAAACCACACCCCACAGTCTCATTTCCGATGTTCACTGTTTAAAAAAGGAATAAATCCATCTGACAGCAGGAGAGGAGGAGTGGGAGACGGAGAGAAGCTGATGGATTTCAGACAGCCCGACTCCTCTGGAGGGGAGAAGGAAGAAGAGAGACGTGGCGGTCTCCTGGTTGAGAAGGGAAAGAGAAGGGAGAGAGCAAAGCAGAGCAGAGGAGGAGAGGAGGGGGCACTTAAAACACCAATGTCTAATCTAGTTTACTGTGTTAAAAAAAGCCACATGCACAGCAGGCCCCCTGGGGGCTAAGGGCCCACACTGCTCCCCGTGTGGCCGTGGTAGACACTAGCTCCTGGCCTCGTCCCCATTCCTCCACAGGTCAGAGCGGAGCTGTGCAGGCGCTGCTGCTTCTGCTGCAGTGGTGGTAGTAGTGGCGGCGGCGGGACCTTCAGTTGGTCTGCTGGAGCCAATGTGGGGGAGGGGAGGGCGGACAGGCCTTATGGCAGGGGAAAGAACACCAAAACGCCTCATTTCAAATAAAAAAGAAAACAGCAGTCTATACACAGTTGTTTGTTTTGGTTCAGTACAAACAGAATAAAAAGTGCTTTTGATGGTCAGCAAACACCCAATTCTGAAGAGGAGGAGAGGTGATGCCCAGCAGGTGGATTAGGAACCCCAGTGGCTGGCGGGGTGCCTGGCTTTGCGGCCCTCTCCCAGGAGGCAGAGAGGACAGCTTTAGGTAGTGTAAGCCTTTTTCCTTTTATTTAGAATAATCTTTTTTTTTTCTTTTTCTTTTTTTTTAAGCAATTTCCCCACTCCCAAGTTGGGCCAGTAAAGATTACATGAAAACTGGCACACCTATCGGCTGGAATACAGATGCACCAAATGAGGATTTAAAAACTTTCCGAGCGAAAAGTAGAACAAAAAGAAAAAAGAATCTCCTAGCATTTTCCCCCAAGGTTTCACTCTCCCGCCACACACACTCTCCAAAGGACCGCTACAGATCCAACTCTGCAAGAGAAGACAGAGCAGTGTCAATCGGGAAGCCGTGAGGGCACCAGGAGGAGGTTTTCAGTCTCAACAGGCAGAAGTCAGCGCTGCCCGGCCCTGGGTCCCGGAGCCAGCACTCACCTATGTCAGTTTCTTGGCTTTGTTGTAGAGGGAATCCACTACTTTACTCATGTTCTGAATTGTTTCCAGAGCAGCTTCATAAGTTTTATCTACTGGGGGTTCATCGAAAATAATCAGGACACCCTCCCCCTGGTCCAAAATCCCTGCAGGAAACAAAAGGGCAACCCAAGTAAAAGATGAGATTAGACACAAAAGCATTTGTGAAGCAGCCCACTCCCTAGTTGCCTCATTTCTCCAGCAAAGAAGGAAAATAGAACTCATTTCCCTCTTCCATTTGCACATATTTATTATACATTCTTATCACGGGGAAGAGGGGCAAGGATCCCAGGAAACCATGAGGAGAAATAAACAGAACATCTTCTTTAATGATAAACCTCTTCAACTATCTCATCACCAACACAAGCCCCCTTGCCTGTGTGATTGCTACTCACCATGAAATTTCTTGTCAAGAATCATCTGTGATAATTTCCTTTCCACGTCGGCCTAAAATCAAAGCACATGATTAAAGGAACCAGTATCTACCAATCAGAGATCACCCTGGCATGAAAGCTTTGTAGAAGGGTTCTAGGGCAAATGGACTGAAAACAAAACAGCAACAATGCAACTCCAGCTCTAGACCACATGCTCCACTCCCCACAGAGCAGCTTTCCAATAAGGCCCATCAGGTGCAAATGCCAGCCCCTCTGCATCACCCTTTTCCCCATCTCCACCCCCTAGACAGCCTCAGGACTCCTTACCTTGGAGAGTTTGATGAGACTAGATATGTGCTCAATCTAAAAGGAAAGGTAGAGATACCAACACTGAAAGTTTTACTCTTGCCTTAAATAACAGCAGTTAGTGGGGCACAGAGGGGAAACTGCTGTATCTCTTGAAATCCTACTGAATATCTCTATAGGGCAAGCTTCTCCTTGGACATACTTAAGTTTCTTTTGCTCTGTCATCTGTCTGCCCATCATTGCTACAGACAAGAGACACACTGCTGCCCGCCCACACACACACACAGAAAATGTGTTCCCCATGCACAGCAACCGCAAAACCAAGGTGAAGACTGTGCTCAGAACACAGGCAGAGGCATCTTCCGTGCCTCGACCCCACAGCATCTCTCTCTCCTCAGCTCCTGCTCATCCTGACAAGAGAAGCCCAAGCTCGCAGTGGCCTCTTGCCCACCATGCACACACTTGGAAGCAAGTTCCTTTTCTAGACAGGTATGGGACAGGAGGTGGCTATAGTGAGGGTGCCTAGCCAGAAACAGAGTTCCCAGGAGGGTTTGTACCTGTACTCTGGAAAAAGGCTCGATGACTCGGATCAGATTCTGTTCCAGTAAGTTATCATACAACTTGGCCAAGTGCGTACTGATGATTGGGTCATCCCGGAGTTCTGCCCGGTAATCTGTCAGGGCCTGCCAAAAGAGCCAGGGGCAGAGATTGACACAGAGCACTTTAAAGTCATGTTACTCCTAGCTTCCTAAGTAGTCTGCTGCCCCTTGTAAACTACACAGTTGAATGAAGTTCTGGGAGATTTGAGAAGACAAAAGAGAACTCATGATATAAAGAAAGGAACATCAAGAACTAAAGGGTGAGCCAGGCATGGTTGCATGCATCACAGGCAACACAGTGAGACTCCATCTCTAAAAATAAAGAAAACTTTTTTTTAAGGCACTAAAAGGCAGAGCCACTCTAGGTACTTTCTTTCTGTCTGAAAGCCTCACATCAACAGTTCAAGCCCCATAAGCCCCAAGAGCAGATCAGCTTGTGAGCAAAATTAATTACACAAGCATTTCTCAGAATGTATTTTACAAAACAAATAGAGTCTGCATGGAAAAAATCAAAACAAAACAAAAAACAATGGAATACTGAGGTTTAAAAAAATGGAAAACGCTGAATTCCACAACTACATCTTTGGAGTTTTATGAGGAACATTAGCATAACTCTCCAGTTAAGAGAAAAAAAACTGCCAGGCAGTGACTCACACCTATAATCCCAGCACTTTGGGAGGCCAAGGTGAGAAGATTGCCTGAGCCCACGGGTTCGAGGCCAGCCTGGGCAACTTGGAGACACCTCATCTCTACAACAAATTTAAAAGGAAAAAAACCACCTTTCTAATATTGTTGAGCTCTAATATTTCCCCAATATCTGGTAACTGAATCCTTCTTCCAATAAACTTCTTGAAATAGAAGTATTCCATCAAACATCTCATATGCTGAGATAATATAATATGGACTGGCTGCTTATTCATGTGTGTGATCTATTTACCATTAGTAACGGTATAAGATACCAGCCTGTCAACTGTGCTATAAGGTGCTAAAGGGAGTAGGCAAGTCCTGCCGAGTAAGGGGCAACAGGAATTGGCAAGAACGCTCCCTGAAGATTATGAATCTTGGGAACAGTCAAAGTCACACAGTCCAGTCTCCATCCATAATGAGGTTTTCTTTTTGGAGCTAGGTTTTGTTTTTGTTAAGTTGGTCAGTATTCTCAGTCTAAGAAAAAAAGTTCAGAAAATATACAAGTCTCATCCTGATGCTTAGATAAGTTTTTCTCCATTTTTGAGACTTTCCAAACAATGAGCAAAAGGCACAGTGGGTCAAAGAAAGCCTAGAACATAATCCTAAGGAAGTTTCTTTGGGCCCAAGTGTGCACATCAAAACTTCCCTTCTGTCCACAAAGAAGCAAACTTGGCATTTCTGGAGCTGAGGGAAGATCTTCAACTGTGTCATGTGGAACAACCACTAGGCCTGGAGTCAAACCCTGACACATGAGCTGTGTGACTTTGGGCATCCTCCTGAACCCAGTTCCCTCAACCATAAAATGCAGAAAACAGGTTTGGAAAAAAAAAAAAATCAAAGTGAAAAAAAGATAACAGAAAGAATTTTTGAAACTGAAAGGTATTAATATGTAAGTAATACATGATTTATATCAACTTAGCAAGCTTCATTGTACAAAAGTCCTTACCTATTTTTTGGGTTAAATACTGTACTGGGTGAGGGTACACAGCATCACTGTACTATCTTCAACTTCTTATGAAACTATAATTATTTTTAAAGGTTTTTTTTCTCAAGTACTTAAATGTCTCCCTCTTCCACCCATTCCCTACCAAACCAATACCATGCTCACCTTTTCAAAATCTGCTAGTGATCTGTTCTTGCTAGCCTGAGCCACGCATTTTAATGCTTCTGTCTGAGAATAAAGAAACAAATCATGAAAGTTACCTATTCTGCACACTGACATCAACCAAAAAGTCTCATAAACAGATGCTATGTCCACACAACTTCCACTACACGGAAGAACCCACCCCACCATCATTCTTCTTCAGAGACTTGGGAAGAAAAACTAGAAGTATTGTATATTACTGTATGCCAACCAGTTTCCTTTGAAACCTGAAATGACTTTAGAATACTAGGAAACAGATTTTCAAAAAAAGACCCCAACATAGCATCTCCCAGAGATAACAAGCTAAAAGGGAAAATGACAAGAGAACTGTGATTTCTTCCCCCTTCCTCCAAGACTTTTTATCTCCACAAACCCCTTCCTGTCCTTAGAATTGATCATTTCTGTGTTTTATAAAGACTCATTCTGCTGAGTTTGGTACAAAGCATTGAACATGGTCTACTTTCATTAAGGTCAAGGTATCAAAACCAAAGCATCTACATATTACACTGAATGTTAAAACCCCATGGAGTGATGAAGGTACAATCAGTATTTGAGAGCACCCTCTAACCTGTTCAGAAAAGGCACCTGCCCAAGCTATCAAGTTTGTACTCAGCAAGAAATCTACACTCATCTTTGTAGAGCAGCCTAACTCCTGTTTAAAAGCTATTATCAATGTACAAGGGACATTGTACATCAACGTACATCAACTATACAAGAAAGAGCTCCTCTTCTATCAGCCTACAAATTTAAATAAGGACAGTGTGCTCTTTTTTGTTGTTGTTTTTTGAGTTGGAGTCTCAGTCTGTCACCCAGCTGGAGTGCAGTGGCATGCTCATAGCCACCATAGCCTCAACCTGCTGGGCTCAGGCGATCCTTCTGCCTCAGCCTTCCAAATAGCTGGAACTACAGGTGTGCACCACCACACCTGGCTAGTTTTTTGATTTACTGTAGAAACGAGGTCTCACTAAGTTGCCCGGGCTGGTCTTGAACCCGTGGACTCAGGCAATCCTCTCGCCTTGGCCTCCCAAAGTGCCGGGATTACAGGCTTGAGCCACCGTGCCCAGCCCAACAGCGTGTCTTATACAGTAGACTAAATAGATCAAAATTAGTAAGACTGTAGTTTGTCTCCAGCATTTGTCCTCTGGACAACACAAATGTCAAAATGAGAAAAACCTGGACGTTAGAGCCAGATAATCCTAGTTCAAAGTCTGGCTCTACCATTTATTAGCTACCTGATCTTGCCCTGGACACCTGACCTCTCTAAACCTGTCTCCTCAACTCTAGCTCTAGCACTAGTGCATCTTTCAATATAGTAATAACCAGTATTCTTGAGGTCAAAACTAGGAGCTGACCTGAAACTTTTGCTGATGCAAAGCCAATCGGGGCCACCTGTGGAGAAGGAAGAAATCATCTGCTGTGGCCATTCCTCCAGAGCTAGTGAGATTATATGGAGGGCCTATTTGTTTCTTAGAGGCAGCTGCAGTTGAAATCCAGAAAGATTACTTTTACTTTACTAATGATAATCAAGCAAAGTACAAAGAGGGGATGATCCAGACATCTGTGATATCATCTTTACACAAGTCATAACTGTTTGCTCTCAGAAGTCTCTGAGATGCCTTACTCAGGTATTAAGGCAACACAAAAAATTTTGCATCACACTCAAAATTCAAGGCATGAATGGAAAAGTACTGATCTGAGAAACACTTGGGTGAATCTCAAAGCCTATTTTCTGCACCAAGCAATCTGTACCAAAGCAAGTATGCACCAGACCTTATCAGGCTTCTGACTTGGAGAATCCAAGATTTCATACTGTGCACATGTTTAACTCACAAGTCAGGTTCATGGTAGATAAATCTTCTGGTCAAAACTAAATGCTAGCCGGGCAAGGTGGCTCACACATGAAATCCCAGCACTTTGGGAGGCTGAGGTGAAAGGACTGCCTGGGTCTAGGGGTTCAAGACCAGCCTGAGCAACATGGCGATACCTTATCTCTACAATAAATTTTAAAAAATTAACCAGACGTGGTGGCATGTGCCTGTGATTTCAGCTACTTGAAAGGCTGAGGCAGAAGGATCACCTGAGCCCAGCAGGTCAAGGCTGCAGTAGCCATCAGCGTGCCACTACACTCCAGCCTGGGTGACAGAGTGAGATTTCAACTAAAAGAAAAAAGCTAAATGAATGCAACCTAACTCAAATTTCTGACCTTTATCATAGCTTTTTTTTTTTTTTTTTTTGAGTTGGAGCCTCACTCTGTGACCCAGGTTGGAGTGCAATGGCACTCACAGCCACTGCAGCCACGACCTGCAGAGCTCAGGCAATCCTTCCACCTCAGCCTTCCAAGTAGCTGGAACTACAGGTGTAAGCCACTATACCCAGCTAATTTTTTGGCTTATTGTAGAGACAAGGTCTTGCCAAGTTGCCCAGGCTGGTCTTGAATCCCTGAGCTCAGGCAATCCTCTAGCCTCTGCCTCCCAAAGTGCTGGGATTACAGGCGTGAGCCACCACACCCGGCGAGCTTTATCATATCTTTATTAAATGTTACAATTTAGTTCAGTCCCTCAAACCACTTGAAGTCTTTAAGAGCACCAAACACGGACTTTCCAGGTCAATTTACAGTATAGGAAACACACTGAATGGTTTTAAGGGAAGGAAGCAGGTGGGGGAGAAGAAAAAGTAGAATGGAGACCTAAAGAGCACTGGTCTCATCAAACATCATGACTCTGACAACATGCTGGTCTCAGAGTGAGCAGGACTGCAGTTCAAGGTATTCCATACCTGCCTCCCTGCATACCGAAGTGCAAGCTTCCCGCTCACCAGAGCCTGGACATCTTCTGGGCTAGAAAAAAAGGTATATTTGGTCAATTGCTCCAGAAGTTACACTTCTAAGTACAGGTTTAGGCAATGTCTTTCTAATTGAATTCCACGTAAAGACTGCCTAAAGAGATAATCAGCCCCAGCCTCTAAACCCAAATGCTCCTCACATTGCAATAGCTAAGTTTTCTCCATTCTGGGCCAAAGCTCAGCACTAAAAAATAACTGAACTGAACCAACCAAAAGCAACAGGCCCAATGGGCAGAATGGTCAATATTACTGGACTTTTCAACATATCCCCTATGTAATCCAAAAAGAGTTTAGTCAATGTTTCATTTATTCCCAAAAGAATTTCAATAATTCTATAGACTTTCTTTGTCAGATCTGTCATACATTTTGTTGTCCACTTTACCAAGCTTCTCCTCAACCCTTCCTTCCTCATTATGGGTGGTCCAGTTGGCTGGCACTGGTTGGTTTGTAAGCTATTTCCTGACCCTTTGTCCTGTACTCAGCACCCATGAGGACAGAAGGATGAGGAGATTCTCCAAGAGGGGCTGGGAAGAGGATTTATCTTTTTAATTTTTAATATTTTAATTTTAAAAACAGAGATAGGCTCTCACTATATTGCCCAGGCTGGTCTTGATCTCCTGGGCTCAAGCAATCCTCCTGACTTGGCCTTCCAAAGTGCTGGGATTTCAGGTGTGAACCACCACACCCAGCCTTTTTCTTTGTTTATATTTTAATTTTAAAAAACAAGGAGGGTTTCTAAAACCATATCCCCAATTCTGAAAGACTAGCAAGCAAAAGTTCTCTGGAGCACCTCTGATCTTCCCACTCTACCACAACCAGCCCCAAAGGGCAGCTACTACTCTTCCAATCACTTTCCAAACTCCCTGCCCAAGCCATTTCTGCCACGGTAGACAGACTTAGTTGAAGGACCTGAGATCTTATATTCCAGAGTTAATGTGCACCTACGTGTTGAGCATGATTTTGCACAGCAACATGTATTTCAGAGATGTGATGGCCTTAGGGCTATCGATGGAGTCATAACCCTCAAATGCCTCATAGAAGTATGAGTACGCAGTTTTCCAGTCCTTCTCCTCTGCTGCATGGATAATACCTGGGCATTGAGAAGAAAAGGAGTGAGAAACACATAAAAGAACCATAAAATTGAAGAGCAGGAAGGGGTCTTATAAATCTACCCCAAGCCCATCAACTTATTGATGAGGCCAGAAAAGGATGAAGGTCCTGCCCAAAGTCACAAATGGCAAGTGAGGACTGAGATTAGAATTCAGGTCTTTGATCTCCCACCTCAATGTCATACTGCCATATTGTCAATATAAATTCCCAAAGGAGTTAGAGGCCCAACTCAAAGGGCATCCTAAAAAGCATACACTGTACCATCTTTCTCCCATGCTTCTCACAACCATTCCTGTCCTGCTACCTTCTGGAGTGAAAGGCCATGTTCACCCACCATGACATCCTCTTCAGAGGTAAGGAGATGGCCTAAACACCCCTAGTCTGCCTGAATGACCTGTTTTAATAGCATGAACTACTTAAAGATAGCTCTTCTAAGCTTGACATTTTTATACTTACACAGTTTTCCCGGAGAGGAGGAGAACTAAACCACTTACCCTTTCATCCCAAATATTTGTCATTTATGGATGTGCTTTTGCATAAATGCAATCAGTGTACAGATCTCCTTGGATTTAATTACTCATGGCAGTATTTCTTTAGACTGATATACCACAGTTAACCTAATCCTCTACTGTTTAGAAGCTGAGTTGCTTCCCATGAGCTTAACTTTGAATCTGCTATTACCTTGAATCTATGCTATCATTTGGAATAACATAAAAATTAGTTCTTTCCAAGTTTGGGAGGCATCTAAACTCTAAGATTCTGTACTCGTATATTTCAGCTCTAACTCTGTCCCAGTCCACCTCCGTGCGTTTGTTTTACCACAGTGCTTCCCAACACTTTTCATCAAGATACATGTAGAAAGTTTTAGCACACTAGAGGAAGAGGAAGATGATGCTGCTTACACTGTGATCCCAAGTAATCCATGTCTTAGCACACCTTTAACCCACCCAAAGCATACCTGTAGAGCACGATGTGCTAGCTGGAACTTCAAACTTCATCATTTATTGAGTGATATGTGCCACCCCCAAGTCCTTTTACCCTACCCAAAAAACCTTCCACATGGAGGCTGAGGGAATCATATACTTCTTCTACTATTGTTACGTTTAGAGGCCTGGAGAAAAATCTGCCCTTCTCTACAGCCAAGGAGAGCCCCCTAAGAACTCAATAAACTATTAATGCTACTAAATTAAATGAGGCATATCTCCAATTTCCCATATCTCCCAGTACAAGCCAGATCCAAAATAAATATGCTTAAAAAAAAAAGAAAGAAAAGAAAGGTAAATTAAGGCCAAAGCAGGCATGGTAGCTCACGCCTATAATCCCAGCCCTTTGGGAGAGGATTGCCTAAGCCCACGGGTTCAAGACCAGCCCGGGCAACTTAGTGAGACCTCATCTCTACAATAAATCAAAAAATTAGCCAGACTCAGTGGCACCTGTAGTTCTAGCTACTTGGAAGACTGAGATGGAAGGATCGCCTGAGCCCAGCAGGTTGAGGCTGCGGTGGCTGAGAGTATGCAACTGCACTCCAGCCTGGGCGGCAACAGAGTGAGACAACAACTCAAAAAAAAGAAAACAGAATGGCTGGACTCAGCTGGGCTCGGTGGCTCAGCCTGTAATCCCCGCACTTTGGGAGGCTGAGGTGAGTGGATTGCCTGAGCCTGCAGGTTCAAGACTCGCCTGCGCAACTTGGCGAGACCTCATCTCTACAATAAATTTTTTAAAAAATTAGCCGGGCGTGGTAGTGCGCGCCTGTAGTTCTAGCTACTTGGAAGGCTGAGAAAGAAGGATCACCAGAGCCCAGCAGGTGGAGGCTGCAGTGGCCGGGAGTGGCCATTGCACTCCAGTCTGGGTGACAGAGTGAGACTCCAACTCAAAAAAAAAAAAAAAAAAGAATGGTCAGACTGTAATCCCAGCACTTTGGGAGGCCGAGACAAGTGGATTGCCTAAGCCCGCGGGTTCAAGACCAGCCTGGGCAACTTGGCAAGTCCTCATCTCTACAAATAAATAAAAAAATTAGCCGGGCATGGTGGAACGTGCCTATAGTTCCAGCTACTTGGAAGGCTGAGGCGGAAGGATCACCTGAGCCCAGCAGATTGAGGTTGCAGTGGCTGGAAGTGTGCCACTGTACTCAAGCCTGAGTGACAGAGTGCGACTCCAACTCAAAAAAAAAAAAAATTAAGATCAAAGAACTGATATACCGTTTTACCAAACACATTAGTAAACAAGGGCCATATTAGCTCTCTGAGTATCATGCTTGGCATGTGAGGTTTACTATTAAAAACAAAATCAAGGCCAGGCACGGTGGCTCTGTAATCCCAGCACTTTGGGAGGCAGAAGTGGGAGGAATGCTTGAACCCAGGAATTAAAACTAGCCTGGGCAACATAGTAAGACCTCTTGTCTCTATTGGAAAAAAAAAAAAAACTTAGCCAGGTGTAGTGGTATGTACCTGTAGTCCCAGTTATTTGGAAGGTAGACACTGGAAGATCGCTTAAGCTCAGTAGTTAGAGGCTGCAGTGAGCTAGGATCATGCGCATGGCACTTTGGTTTGAGCAACAGAGTGAGACCCTGACTCAAAAAAACAAAAACTAAAGGTTAGATTGTCACTCATTGTAATATTGTCACACAAGTATTACTGAGGACCTACCACATGCCAAGCACTGATACGACTACTACAGAGGAAAAAATTACAAATAAGGCTCTCAAGGAGGCTGACATTCTGGTGGGAAAGATGGAAACAAAGAGAAACAAGGAGATTGGTATAATAATATATAAAAGGACTATATCCTTGGTAGGGAAGTTCAAAAGCAAAGAAAGTACAGAGAACTTACAGAGGAGATATCCGAGCTACATCTAGAAGATGCATAGAAGTTTGCCATAGGGACAAGGGGAATTCCAAGCAGAAAAGACAAAATAAATATACAAAGGAAATAGCATGGAGTACTCAGAGAATACAGTCATCTGGGGACCACAGCTGAAAATCAGAGATAGGCTGGGCATGATGGCTCAAGCCTATAATCCCAGCACTTTGGGAGGCCAAGGCAAGAGGATTGTCTGAGTCCAGGGGTTTGAGACCAGCCTGGATAACTTGGTTAGACCACATTTCTACAATAAACCAAAAAATTAGCCGTGCATGGTAGTGTAAACCTGTATTTCTAGCTGCTTGGAAGGCTGAGATGGAAGAATTGCCCGAGCCTAGTAGGTTGAGGTTGCAGTGTCTGTGAGCATGCTGCTGCACCCCAGCCTGGACAACAGAGTGAGACTCTGACTCAAAAAAAAAGAAAGAAAGAAAACCAGAGATAAGGATGAAAAGAAAAGAATGCCTTCCTTTTGAATGCCATGTTGGAATAAAATTAGCCTGAGGAGCCGGGCTCAGTGGCTCAGCCTGTAATCCCGCCCCTTTGGGAGGCTGAGGTGAGTGGATTGCCTGAGCCCCTGGGGTTCAAGACCCACCTGGGCAGGCGAGACCTCATCTCTACAATAAATCAAAAAAATTAGCCGGGTGTGGTAGCGCGCGCCTGTAGCTCCAGCTGCGTGGAAGGCTGAGGCTGAAGGATTGCCGGAGCCCAGCAGGTCGAGGCTGCGGTGGCCGGGAGCGGCCACTACACTCCAGTCTGAGCAACAGAGTGAGACTCCAACTCAAAAAAAAAAAAAAAATTAGCCTGAGGATAATGGAAAGCTACTAGAGAATTTTAAACAAAGGAGTTACATGATCAGATTTGCATTTCAGAAAAACTACACTGGGGCCAGTAAGAAAGATGGACTGGAAAAAGTGATTAGGGACAGTTAGATCAGTAAAAGACTACTCCAGGCTGGGCTCAGTGGCTCAGCCTGTAATCCCAGCACTTTGGAAGGCCAAGGCAAGTGGACTGTGAGGCAAGTGGACTGCCCGAGCCGGCAGGTTTGAGACCAGCCAGGCAACTTGACAAGACCTCATCTCTACAATTACAAAAAAAAAAAATTAGCCAGGCATGGCAACACGCAACTATAATTCCGGCTACTTGGTAGGCAAAGGGAGAGAAGGATCGCCAGAGACCAGCAAGTTGACACTGGGGTGACCATGAGTGTGCCACTGCACTCCAGCCTGGGCAACTGAGTGAGACTTCAACTCAAAAAAAATAAAAATAAAAATAAATTTTAAGGCCAGGCTTGGTGGTTCAGCCTGTAATCCCAGCACTTTGGGAGGCCAAGGCAAGTGGATTGCCTGAGCCCGTGGGTTCAAGACCCACCCAGGCAACTTGGCGAGAACTCGTCTCTACAACAAATCAAAAATTAGCTGGGTGTGGTAGCGTGTGCCTGTAGTGCCGGCTACTTGGAAAGCTGAGGCGGAAGGATCGCCGGAACCCAGCAGGTTGAAGCTGCAGTGTCCGGGAACGTGCCACTCCACTCCAGTCTGGGCGACAGAGTGAGACTCCCACTCAAAAATAATAATAATAATAATAATAATTTTTAAAAAATAAAATTTTTTAAAAAGACTACTCCAGGCCTAATTTAGAGCATTTAGTGGCTTGTAGAGATGGAAAAGAAAGATCTGGAGACAGACTCAACATGATCTGGTAACTGACTGAATATGAGGGGTGAGGGAAAGGAAGGAGTCAAAACTACTCCAAAGACAATAGCTTGAGCAACGAAGTCAATAATAATATCATTAACTAACACAGGAAAGGGAGTCGATAATAAATTTGGTTTTGTTATGTTGAGACTGAGATAGTTAGGTATGTATACCCATCAAGCAGATGGAAATCTAGAGCTAGAATTTAGGAAACAGGAAAGTTACCAGTGATCTAGATGAGACCATTAGTGTTGTGTGTCAGCTAGAGCCATGGAAGAGCATGGGACTAGACAGAAAATGGGGAGAATAGAAACAGAAGAAAACTAAGAACACAACGCTGAGGAACACCACAGTCAGAAGGGAAAGGAAACACAGTGTGGCCACGAATAATTAGTCACAGGATACAACACTACATACTCTGGACACGACCATCTCACACCATAGACTTTCTGCAGGACAGGATTCATGAGCAGTATGGATAGCCAAGAAGAGTATCAAGGTGTGACCTACATTGACCTAGGGGTGGCCGCAGGCCCAGGGTACAACTGCGGGGGAAGAGGGTTGTACAGATTGCCATCCTTGCACCCCTCCTCCCCTTAATACAGAAAGAAAAAAATTAGTCAAGGGAGGAGAACCAAGAAGACAATAAAGTCTAGGAAGCTCATGCAACAGGACTGAATTCCCCTTAAAAGTAAGGATTATTGAGCCGGGCTCGGTGGCTCAGCCTGTAATCCCGAGCTTTGGGAGGCTGAGGTGAGTGGATTGCCTGAGCCCGCGGGTTCGAGATCCACCTGGGCAAGTTGGCAAGACCTCATCTCTACAATAAATCAAAAATTAGCCAGGCGTGGTAGCACACGCCTGTAGTTCCAGCCACTTGGAAGGCTGAGGCGGAAGGATCGCTGGAGCCCAGCAGGTGGAGGCTGCGGTGGCCAGGAGCGTGCCACTGCACTCCAGTCTGGGTGACAGAGTGAGACTCCAACTCAAAAAAAAACAAAAGTAAGGAATATGGCCAGGTGAGGTGGCTCACACCTGTAATCCCAGCACTTTAGGAGGCCAAGGTGAGAGGCCAGGGATTCGAGACCAGCCTGGACAACTTGGCAAGACCTCCTCTCTACAATAAATCAAAAAATTAGCCAGACATGGTGGCATATGCCTGTAGTTCCAGCTACTTGGAAGGATGAGGCAGAAGAATCACCTGAGCCTAGCAGATCAAGGCTGCAGTGGCCATGAGTTGTGTCACTACACTCCAGCCTGGGCAACAGAGTGAGACTCTTACTCAAAAAAAAAAGTAAGGAACATAATACTGACATCTTCTTTCAAGGAGTCAATAAAGACACCAAACCAAGGATACTCTTTGAACTTTTTCATGAAACTTGACATAAAGGGGAAGATAGCAATTTAAAAAGGAGAAAGGGCTGTGTGTGAACCTGGGCAGTTCAAAGACTGAGAAAAAGATATGAAAGAAGAAAGACTAAAGACCTAGAATGGAACAAAAGGACAGGTAGTAGAAAGATCACTCCTGATTAAGGGGTAAAAATGGTTAGTGACATAAGTTCTATAGAGGAAAGAGAGGGCTCACATAAAAATGGCCTCCATTTCCTCCGAAAAATATGATTCAAATTCGTATCTTCACCATGAAGGTAGGGACCAGATTCAACAGAGTAGTGGCTTAAAGAAAGTATCAACAATTGGTTAAAGCTAAGTACTATGATGAAAACTCTACATTCATCATCTCATTTAATCCTCAGCACAATCCTATGAGGCAATACAATTATTATCACCATTCAACAGTTGAACTAAAGATAAATTAAGTAACCTGCCCAAAGTTACATACCTAGAAAACAACATAACAAAAAGTCAACCTAGGAAAGCCTGATCTTAGATCACAGTATCTCTGAGAGACAAGTCAGGGAGGTTTTATCCTTTAGAGATGAGAGAGGGTAGACAAGCACTTAAACTAGTCGTCTGCCTCCAATTCCAGTACTCCTTCAATAATGATTCTTCCAGTAAAAAAAAATGCTGAATATAAAAAGTATTCCAGCTGTCATTCTATGTCCTTCTAACCCCAACATACACAAACTCCATCAGAAAACTACATACTACACTTAGGTAAAATTGGAGAATCGTTTCTCAGCCCTGATCTGAGGATTGTTATCACCATTTTATAGCTGAGCTAAAGATAAATTATGGCCTGTCCAAAGTTATACACCTAGAAAGCAGCAGAACAAAAATGGCAACATAGGCAAGCCTGAAGCAAGTCAGGCAGGCATTATCCTTTTCCTTATGATATCCTTTTCCTTTAGAAAAGTGCAACAAACTTTATAAAAATCTCCAAGAGTCAACAGACTTGGGTTAGGGCAATCCTGAAGACATATGCTAGCATTCTGAATAAGTGGCTAAGAGGAAAGTTAACGGAGTCTTAAGACTAAGTGAGACTTCTTTAAGGTTTGGCTCTAACAGGTTGCCAGGTCAAGCACTGATAAGCATGCTCTTCACATTTTTTAGGCAGTTAATAGGAAAGATAGCTGGTTAGAAAGGTAGCTCTCTAATTGGTTTCTTTGAAGACTGGGCCAAATAAGCAAATTTTCTTCTCCAGTTCAAATCCTCATTCCGTCCACCAGTAAGATGAACTCTAAGAAACAAATCCCAGGAGTAACTATGGGTGTTACCTGACTGCATGTCCAAGGTGGCCTGCAATTTAGGGGGGCAGTAGATGGCATTTGCTGTGGTTCGAGCAGAGGTTAAGGCAGCTCGGGCTTTCGGCAGGTTGCTCAGGGCATGGTATGTTTTGCTTTCTAAAAGCTGTACTTCCACCAAGAGGGCTTTGTCATCCATCTTTTTCAACTCCCGCAGCAGCTGAGAACCTGAAGATGGAAAAGATACATACCTCTTTGTCAGCCGTAATCTTAATACCTAAGTAATATAATATCTCACTCTCTCACCCTTAAAACACCAAGGATAAAGAAATCTGCCTGAACTTAACAAGAGGTTACCCTTCAGATCCCACACAAGAGTTAAATTTTCCACTAATGTGACATCTTCCAAAAGAAAAACACACATCTCTTTGAAGCTTTCTGCATTCAACATTAGAGCCAAGAGTCCCATAAGCTTACTTCTAAGATGTAAATACAATAGAAATCTCTACACACAAAATGCTGAACCTAGTTACCCAGCTCAGACAGGCACTTGATCTCACTGTCTTCCTGCTCAGCAATCACAAGACTAAATAAGAAACACTGGGCACTGAGATTGATGGAGAAAATAGAGTTCTGGGTATGCCAATGTTCTCCAAATATATATTCCCCCCATCTTAGATGTGAATACCAAATTCAAACAAACTTATACAATATACAAAAACTATTTAAGAACATGCAAGTTTGAAAAATAAAAAAATTATTTAAATTAACTCAAAATGGATCAAAGACCTAAGTGTAAAAACTAAACTTAAAAAACTTCTAGAAGAAAATAGAAGCCGGGCATGGTGTAATCCCAGTACTTTAGGAGGCCAAGGTGAGAGGACTGCCTGAGTTCAGGGATTCGAGACCAGCCTGGGCAACCTGGCAAGACCTCCTCTCTACAATAAATAAAAAAAATTAGCCAGCCATGGTGGCGCACGCCTGTAGTTCCAGCTACTTGGAAGGCAGAGGCAGAAGGATCACCTGAGTCCAGGTCAAGGCTGCGGTGGCCATGAGCATGCCACTGCACTTCAACCTGGGCAACAGAGTGAGACTCCACCTCAAAAAAAAAGAAAGAAGTAACTCTTTATAGCCTTGGACTAGACAATGGTTTCTTAGCCACAACACCAAAAGTATAAACAAACCAAAAAATAGACAAATAGAACTTCATCAAAATTAAAATGCACGTCAAAAGACCCCATCAAGAAAATGAAAAAACCCACAGCATGAAATCAAAATTTTGCAAATCAAGTATCTGATAAGAGACTTGTATCCAGAATAAAAAATAAAAACACATACAACCCAATTAGAAAATAAAGGATCTGTCCAGGCTAGGTGGCTCAGCCTATAATCCCAATACTCTGGGAGGCCGAGGTGAGTGGATTGCCTAAGCCCACGGGTTCAAGACCCACCCAGGCAACTTGGCAAGACCTCGTCTCTACAGTAAATCAAAAATTAGCCAGGCATGGTAGTGCACGCCTGTAGTTCTGACTTCTTGGAAGGCTGAGGCAGAAGGATCGCCAGAGCCCAGCAGGTTGAAGCTGCGGTGGCTGGGAGCAGGCCACTGCACTCCAGTCTGGGCTACAGAGTGAGACTCCAACTCAAAAAAAGAAAAGAAAGGATTTGAGCAAACATTTCTCCAATGACATACAAATGACCAGTAAGTACATGAAAAGATGATTAACATCATTAGTCATAGAAAAATATAAAACGGGCTGGGAACGGTGGCTCAGCCTGTAATTCTAGCACTTTGGGAGGTCGAGGCGAGAGGCTTGCCTGAGCCCAGGAGTTTGAGACCACAATGGGCAACTTGGTGAGACCTCGTCTCTACAATAAATCAAAAACTTAGCTGGGTGTGATAGTGTGCGCCTATAGTTCCAGCTACTTGGAATGATGAGGCAGAAGGATTGCCTGATTCCAGCAGGTCGAGGCTGTGGTGGCCCTGAGTGTCACTTCACTCCAGCCTGGGCAACAGAGTGAGACTCCAACTCAAAAAAGAAAAGAAAAATACAAACCAAACCCATAATGAGACAGGACTTCATGCACACTAGGATGGTTAAAATAAAAAAAGATAACAACAAGTGCTAGTGAGGACGCTGAGAAACTGGAACCCTCATACACTGCAAATGAGAATGTAAAATGGTACAGTTGCTTTGAAAAGCATTTTGGCAGCACCTCAAAAAACAAAGCAGTTACTATATGATCCAGTAATTCCACTTTTAGGTATATACCCAAAAGAGGAACATATCCACATGAAATCTGTTCACATCAATGTTCATAAGCCAAAAAAATGGAAACAGCCCAAATGTCCATCAACTGATGATTGGATACACATGATTCAATGGACTATTATTTAGCAATAAAAAGAAATTAAGTACTGATACATGTAATATGTAATAACAGATAAACTCTGAAAATAATGCTTTAAAACATCACATATTATATGATTCCTTTTATAGGAAATGTCTAGAATAGACAAATCTACAGAGATAGAAGTAGCGCAATGGTTGCCCAGGGTTGCTAATGGGTAGGTAGGAAGTTTCTTGCTGGGGTTATGAAAATGTTCTTAAATAGTAATGATGGTGGCACAATTTACTAAAAATCTCCAAATTGTATACTTTAAAGGGTGAATGAATTTTATGGTATTTTATAGCCCATTAAAGTTTTTTTTTAATGCTATTTGTTTGAACCATATGAAATCGCCATTCTTACAGAATAAAAATAGAATATTGGCAATTTTCCAACCTAATACACCATAAAAACCATGATTTTCTGTTTGTAGAAAATAGGCCAGTTCTGCCCATTAATGAAAAGCAAGCACCAAGGGAAGATTTCAAGGTATTTAAAGGTCAAAAAGGAGACAGCCTTCAGTTGGCCACTCCAGCTTCCAAATATATTTGTGCCCAATTAATTTCTTAATTTTTAAAATAGACTTTAAGTAGAATTATAAACAGATACAGTAAATGTAACAACCAGTCAAACATTTGCAATTTAAAAAACTAAATCTGGCCAGGCTTGGTGGATCAGCCTGTAATCCCAGCACTTTGGGAGGCTGAGGTAAATGAACTGCCTGAGCCCACAGGTTTGAGACCCACCCGGGCAACTTGGCAAGACCTCATCTCTACAATAAATCAAAAATTAGCCGGGCATGATAGTGTGCACCTATAGTTCCAGCTACTTGGAAAGCTGAGGTAGGAGGACCTCCAGAGCCCAGCAGGTCGAGGCTGCAGTCGCCGGGAGCGTGCCACTGCACTCCAGTCTGGGTGACAGAGTGAGACTCCAACTCAAAAAAATAAATAAATAAAATTAAATTAAAATTAAATTAAAAAACTAAATGTGCGTGGTGACTCACACCTGTAATCCCAGCACTTTGGGAGGATTGCTTGAGCACAGGAGTTCAAGACCAGCCTAGGCAACATAGCAAGTCCTCCTCTCTAAAAAAAATTCAAAAAAATTAGCTGAGTGTGATGGCAACTGCCTATAGTCCCAGTTTCTCGGGAGGCTGAAGAGGAAGGATCACCTGAGCCCAGGAGGTCGATACTACAGTGAGCCATGAGCATGCCACTGCACTCCAGCCTGGGCAACAGAGAGAGATACTAACTCAAAAAAATAAATAAGTAAATAAACAAATAAATACATTTTTAAAAAAATAAAAAACTAAATGTGAAATTTAACAGGGTGCTATACGCAAAATACAGATACACATTTTTAAAATTTTGGTTATTAAAATGGAATGGATTTTACTGTTCTAACTTCAAGTGAACTTTAAAGTTACCTTTTGTTCTCTAAATCTGACAGGTTAATCCTAGCTAGTTTTTTAGAACTTCCAAATAACATTTTTTCATGATAGATACAGATCTGTGAGCCACCTTAACTCCATCTTAGGAGTACATAAAATATAAATTATTAATATGCATTTAATAAGAGTAGCCAGGCTTCAAATACACTTAGCTAGCTGAGATGACTTATTAATTTCTACCAGCTTACTTACCCAAATGTAATGCTTCCTGGTACCTCTTGGTATCAAAGTACAAAGACACCAGTCTTGCCTAGGAAAGAGAAAAGGCATTGATTGAAGGACGAGAAAAAAAAAAGCCACAGAAAGAAATCAAAGATTGATCGTCACAGAACTGTTACTGTTGACTATGTAAGTCCTGATGATAGCATCAAATTCAGCGTAAGAAATTATTTAGCCCACATATTGTCTCCTATTGGCCAGCAACAGACTGTTAACTTTACTATGTTGTTACTTAGGACTCTGAACCAAGTAGCATATCTGTCTCAAATTTCAATCAGGGCAATTCTCATGAGACTACTAACAATAATCTTTGAGGCCCTCGGTAATTACAAAGTTGCTGGAAATACTGCTAATCAGAATGGCACTGCTTACAGTCACAGTCTAATGTCTAGAGACCTGAAGTTAGTGCTAATGTAAATCATACCTCCAAAGCTTGGCGTAAGAAAGTTCTTTTCTCTGATTTGGCCCATTCAATGCACTCTAAACATAGTTCGACCTGCAACAGGAAGAGACAGAACATGCAACATTATGTCCTCACATTTTTCCCACAAACTATGCTTTGGAGAATAGTTTTAATTCTCTCCTTACTTAGTATCCATGTTGCTCTATTTAGTGTCTGATTCACAGTTATCTCAGTGTGTAATAGATATATCATAATGGAGCATCAACTTGGCTTTTAACACATAAAATACCTTTGTGCTTAGATTGTGTTCTTTAGGAAAAGAGCTTCATCTTCGAGATCCTTCTTCTACATTCCCAGGAGAAACCCAGAACTTCCAACAACATATATAGCCCTGGGTAGTAGATTTCTATGATGGAATTTTTAAACTTTTAAAGCAGAAATTTCTTCCTGAATAGTTAGAAATAGTAATGGTAATGTGTTATTATGAATACACTGGTAATAAAGTGAAGAAATTCTCAGCCTAAGCACAAATGCCTTACAGTTGCCTTTAAGACTCAATCAGTCCAGATGGTTCTTTCACTTTCAGATGCTAAGCAGTACAACTAACTAATTCATCATCACTCTCACAGAAAACAGATACAGTAAACTCAGTTTGCATTAAAGAGAGCAAAAAAAATTAAAATTAGGCTAACACTTAAAAGTTCCACTTAATTTAAAGCCACTCTCAATCCCTCGTTCTATCTGCCTCCCAAGCAGTGATATAAGGTGCAAAGTAAGCAATGATTTAAAGCACTGTTCAAATGCTAGATGGTCTAACACGCCATCAAATATCCTTGTCATATTAGCTTTGACACAGTATATATTAAGTACTACAAATCTTGTATCACTTCTGTTACTGCAAATTTTGTATTAAGGTTGCTAACCAGAGTATATGACAAAAAGAAATAAGGAACTGAGCTTTCTAAAGAACTATTAATACAACAGGTTTTTATGTAAATCCAAAGTTCTCTCAAGAAATGCTGTAGGAGGGAAAACTAAAGGGATACAATCCAAACTGACAAGATCTTCTGCCTTTAGATCCTGAATTAAAGTTCAATAGATAAACTGATAGATGACATTACATGGTATTTGGAGGATTCACTAACGAGAGAATTAACAAAACCTTTACAACTCCTCATTGGAGCCCCCTGGTGGCTACCTAATCTCCAACTCTAAATTCAACTGATTTCATTTCTTTTTTCACTTTTTTGGGGGGTGGGGGGGATGTGGCCTCACTATGTTGCCCAGGGTGATCTCTAACTCCTGGCCTCAAGCAATCCTCCCACCCTGGCCTCCCAAAGCGCTGGGAATACAGGTGCGAGCCACTGCACCCAGCCCCTCAACTAGCTTCATAATAATTCTTAAAAAAAAAAAAAAAGAGGAACAAAAAGCTAAAATAAAAGCAAGCCAATCCCAATTTCAGAGTTTTTAGTTACATTCTGAAAAGCTAAATTCAAAGTAAGACTTCTGATATAAATAGAACTGAAACTATTTTGCTGAATAGTTTTAGAAAAAAAATACACATCTTTTAGTCCTAGCTCTCTTAGGAGGTTAAGATATGTCCCCTAGTTTTACCCACAAAGCTTTTTCAAAGGATACAGAAACAAATGCCTGGGGCTTAGGCACATTCAGTAAGTTACACTTCAATAGTTTATTTTAAAAAAAAATTAAAAAAAATAAAAATGCCTGAGCTTCTGAATGAGTAGTCTGGAATAGAGCCTTGTCTCTTAAAATATATCCCTAATTAAGAGACCATGAATTCTTCTCCTGCAACTCAGCTGCCCCATTTCCCTGACAGTCCACGTATTAAGTGACTCACCTAAAGTCACTATCAGCTGCTGGCACCAGAACTCATCCTTAACTCCAGAGCTCTTTCTTTCTCAACCCAGCTGTAAGTTTTTAAGTTAAGGTCATTACAGATATTTCTTCTACAGCAAGGATTATTTACATAACTAATTATCTGTTATCAATTATAAAGTATATTAAGTTGTATTATCTAGAACCATAATTGATGAAACCCACACATCAGTAACAAGGAAAATTTTAAAAGGCACTGCCCTTACTACACAGCTATTTTGCTTGAGAGGCTTTGTGCTTTGTTAATGCTAATAAAGACTGACAAAAGGAACAAGAATGTAAAAGAAACCCATGCTTCTGGAGAAAGGGCCTTACTTTAGTACAAAAACTTGATGTGATCAAAATCTGATATTTAGTTTTAAATCAATATACCTAACCATTTTTTAATACCCTTATTAACAAAATTCCTGTGGGGGAAAAATATTCCAAGTCTGAAATTCTCTAGCACAAACCCTTCTTTCCATTGAAACAATTGTTTTGATAACATGATTTATGATGTAAGGTTTCTAAAAATGTGCTATTGTGTTTCAGTTGGGCAGACTACACCAACAAATAGCTCCCCAAAACAACTCTCTAGAGATCTCTGGAAGAAGTTCATTCTGGGAGTTCGGTACACTATTCAGCAAAGGTCTATGTCAGTCTTTTCCTCCTCTTTATCCTACTTGTCCACTCCCCTCCCCTGCCAACCACCCCATCCTCACTCCCCCATGTACCACATCTCACTCCCAAACACACATGCCCTCACTTTCTAGGCTCCAAGCCTTAGCCCAGCAAATGACCAGATCCTAACCTGAATCGTATCAACTTTGGGAAGATAACAAGTTGAGGATTTTCTTCTGTAGGTGTACCTGGTTTTCGGTTAGTCCCTAAGGCAGAAAAAGGCAGAAAAATCCCCTCCCTCAGACTCTTGGTACCAAACTCCTTAAAACAAAACTCTAGATTTCCTAACAATGTTCTAAAATGTCCTATTTTGCTTCCAGTCTCAATACTACTATGACAGTGATCCACTTATGACTTGCTCCTCTATCCTTTCCTATCACCGAAAGAATTTTAAAAGACCAAGAATGAAGACTTTATTCTATTTCCCCAAATCAAAGACTCTGAGTCACCTAAACAAATGCAGTAACAACACCCCACGCTTGCACCTCATTTCAATAACCTTAGACCTTAATTCAACAAAGTATTTCCTGAGCATCTGTCAAGGGGAAGGCATAGTCCATATATCCCTTCAATAAATATTTGCTATACAGTTCCTTTGAGCCAAACTACTTTAAGTGCTGGGGGAATAGGACCAAGTAGCTATCTTCATGGAACTCATATTCCAAAGAAGCATGTTAAACAAGTAAAATAAATTCTTTTAAAAAGTAAGCCAAGATGGGGTATTTTAGATGTGATCAAGGAAGGTCTCTGAGGAAGTGAGTAGACTTGAAATAATGTAAAGAAAATAACCCATGTTAAGAACAGGCTGAGAGCAATAAAGATGTATATAAATGCCCCAAGCCCAGACGAATGAGGAAGGCACTGTAAGGTATATAGTACTGTACCTGAATGAGATTACATTCCAGTAAAAAAGATAAATGTAAAGCAATTGACACACAAGGCAGAATAAGGTCAGAAATATAACATGTACAAAATACAATGTGAGTCACTGAAAGACTTAAGATCACATGAAAATCAATAAGCAAAGATTTCAGAGGAGGTGGAACTTGAGACAGGACTATGAAAGGGAAAGGTACAGCATAAGGAGTATATAGGGCTTGCTCAGAAAACAACCATCCAACATGGCTGACATGTTTGATATGCTAAATAGCATACCAGATCAGACTATTGCAGTAGGTTATATTACAGAAAACCATTAATTTCTTAATTCTCACTTTGGGAGGTGAGAGGATTGCCTGAGCTCACAGACTGGAGACAAGCCTGGACAACTTGGTGAGACCTCATCTCTATAATAAATCAAAATATTAGCTGGGCATGGTGGTGTGTGCCTGTAGTTCCAGCTACTTGGAAGGCTGAGGCAGAAGGATCACCTGAGCCCAGCAGGTTAAGGCTGTGGTGGCCATGAGCATGCCACTACACTCCAGCCTAGGCAAGAGTGAGACTCCAACTCAAAAAAAAATTTTTTACTTAATTCTACAGGCAATCCAAAGCCACTGAAGACTCAACTGTGTGAGAAGAGGGAGAGGAATAAAATGATAATGGTGGAATGAGGCTTTTTTAGTAGTCCAAGTAACAAAGAATTAATAACCAAACTAGATATTAGTTTTAAGAAAGAACAAATACAAAAAAGGTGGAGAAACAGACACTGAGGAAAGCTGAACTGACAGAATTTAACAAATAGCTGGATTTTGAAGTCAGCCATGTTGAGTCTGAGGCAAGGGTAAGACAATCTAGATGACTCATAATTTGTTCCAAAACAAGCAAATAATCTATAATCCACAAAAATGATTAAAAGAAGTCCTGCTTGGTGGAATAAGACTCTGGCTCTTGATAAAAGCTATACTGCTAGCCATCAAAAGAACAGCTTTTACTTAAAAAAATGATACCTATGATAAAATGACACAATACTTAAGAGTACTTCCTTTCACTCTAGGAAAAGGAATTAAAATCTCTTGTTGACAAAAATTTAATGTGCAATGAACAACAGCAAACTACAAACAGTTAAGGGAGAACCTAAACAGACAGAGAGGACATGACAAAGGCCAGTAAATCCCACTAGCCAATTTAGGAGAGCACTAAATTATAACTCGAATAGATGTCCACTAAGGAACAGGAGAAATTATTACTAAACAAATACAATTCTACCCACTGAGTCAACTCTATGTTATAGGGACAAATTTCAGAGATTTCACTGTGCAAAAGAGCAGCTTGCATAATTAATTTTCTGACTAAACAGTTCCAAGAAACAGTTATTAGTTTCAAACCAACATTTATTGATCAGCCAATTTTAAGACACCCTATTTTAAACAAAAAACGGCACCACTTTCATGAGAACGAAGTATAATTTTTTTTAAAAGGGTTAGATAAGACTAATATCCATAATAAAAATCACATTTTCTGTTAATTTCTTCACTAAAATAATTCTAACACATTGGTTCAAAAGGCAACCATTTAAATATTATTTTTTATCTACTATTTTAAAACACAGTTTTCCAGAAACAAATAAATCTAGACTGCTCTACAAATAAAGTTAGTTTACGGTGTTTAAACTAGTCTTCAGATGGGCATGGTGGTTCATGCCTGTAATCCCAGCACTTTAGAAGGTTGGGGAAAGAAGACTGGCTGGGCCCAGGGGTTCTAGACCAGCCTGGGCAACTTGGCGAGACCTCATCTCTACAACAGACCAAAATATTAGCCAGGCATGGTGGCATGCACCTGTAGTTCAGCTACATGGAAGGTTGAGGTGGAAGGATCGCCTGAGTCCAGCAGGTTCAGGCTGTGGTGGCCAAGAGCGTGCCACCACACTCCAGACTGGGCAACAGAGTGAGGCTCCAACTCAAAAAATTAAATAAATAAATAAACTAGTCTTCAAAGAATCATCCAGGCAAGAAACCAGGTTTTATAAAAGGCATGATTCCAAAGTGGAATCCATGTGTCCCAGGTTTCTGAAAGTTCTCACTTTTAATCAATATGGTTCTATAGCCTTTCATACCTTTTACCTGTACACCCAAAAAGACTACAGCAAATAATGAGACATATAACAACTAGCAATTTCAACCCCTGCCCTTATGCTAGCTGACATATTATATATCTGTTTATTATCTGCCTTCCCTGTTAAAATACAATCCTCATGAGAGCAGTGACTGTTGTGCCTAATACACAGTAGGCACTCAATGAATACTGATCAACACATCCACAGGAAAGACAATTATATTATTCCTACAAACAGATTCAAGTAATTACAATACACCTGCTTGAACTGCCACTTTTTACAGAATGATTTTTAATTTTGGTATGTCTCCTCCTGACTTACAGAAAATATAGCTATCTTTGAAAAGGTTGGGAAAGGTCTATGATTCCAGAGAGACCCTCTTTAATATAGCTCAGTGTCTAGTCTGAACTTGCGAAGACATGTACAGAAACACCAGAGCCACTTCTGCACACATGAGACACAAACAGATGGATGCTCACCCCTTAATAAAGGCATATACACAATGCAAAACATGCCAAGAAGGAATGCCACAGACTTAATTAGTGCTCACAAGGAGCTTTCTGACACAAGATGAAAGGCACCACAGACACAGAAAACATTACAAAGGTGTGGCAATACAATACCTCAAAGACAAGAATCAGTTTGTGACCCTGATGTAATGAGGATTCCAGGGACCACTGACAATCTCCACTTACAAAGCAAAGCATGGAACAGACCCAAAGTATCAAATGCCCTGTAACAAAGAGAAACTGACATGATAAGTCCTAAGCTGTTATCCCAGCTGCCCCTTCCACATTAGTATCACAGTGCAGGCAGGCATTTCTTTCACAGAAACAGACTTCTTTTCCATATTGTCTACTTTCTGTCATTAACATGGCTTACCTCCTGCCCTGTAGCTGCTTCCATATCAAGAAACAGGTCAAGAAGAGATCGAACCAGACGAGCTGCCTTAGCTTTGCTGATGGAATTCAAGAAGGGTCGTACATACTTCAGGAGTCCTCCAAGCTCTGTGCGAAAAGCAATCCAAAAAGGAAAAGTACAGATCAATATTAGGGACAAAATACTCATTAAAAAAACTGACCCAAGGTCATAAAAATCAGTACTTCCATCACTGGAATCAGTCTAAATGAAACTTTCTAGGCATTTAAAGCATTTCCAGCAGGTAAGAGCAGCAAAAATAAGTTAACATCAAATGCCAAATTTGTATTCTACTCCACTCAGCCACTGGATTACTATAAAGGCCCAGGAAAAGCTCCTATCTGTTTCATTTGTCCATCTTAATGAAAGATAAACAGTAAAGTATTCATACTCTCAAAAAGCAGTTGCATAGAACTTGAAATACGCTGTGTCCTTGCCCATCTTTGACAAAACCACTTACTCACAACCACTAAATATGACCAAGTTATAGAAGTCATTCTGTTTCAATTTCCAAGTCTGCCTTAGCAGTTCCCCTCAAACAGATGAGGCTTCCGATTCTAGGTTCCTTCTTTCTTCTCTTCCTGCGGTACTCCCCAGGCTGGCCTTTTAGCAGTATTACTTCCCTGGAACTCTTCTGAATAAACTTTTCATATAGAAGTTAGGGTGTTCTGCCCTTAAAGTTCTACTATATCTTTTTAAAATTCCTCATTAGGTTGCAAAACCTAAGTCTAAAATTTTGATCAAAAAAAGGTATCCACCATAGAGCTTTCCCTTCACTTATAGAAGAAAAGAGAGTAGTACAGGAACGCTAAGGGAGCACCTGTAGAAACAATAAACTACAGATGTGCTTGCCAAACAGTAAAATTCAGAGGCTGTTTCAACTAAACAACTTAGGAAGTATTTTTGCAATGCAGGTTAAAATTATTTTAGTGCCATTGTCTCTTTAATATTCCCCAATTGTAGACTCAACCTCCTGAGAACTCTAACTCAGGGCAAACAAACTTCACCCTCCTGAGAATGCTAATTCAGGGTCCTGAAATCTTCATCTGCCTTAATAGTCAGAGAATGCACACAACTGTGTCAGGTACTTAAGGAAGAATATATCAAGTAGAAATGTTTCTCTCTCCATTCACTCTTCAGTACTGACCTTTGACTCCCAATGTTTAAGACTTTTCTCATTCTGCCACCCCATTCACCCCTGCACAGACTAACTATGTACACTCCTGCTTTCAGGCTTCACTCATGCCACAACCCCATCTGAAATGACTTCCCATCTTCTCAATCTATAAAAATCTTAGATATTCTTCTAGGTCCATCCACAGTCCTACTGAATCTTCCATGCCAACTCCATTCTACAATGATTTCTCTCCCTCAAATTCCTTTTGCATTTACTTCAATTATATTATGTAATCATAGCTTTATTAAGAGTAGTCTACCGGGGAGAGGGGGTGGGATTGGCAGTTGAGGGAAACTGCCAGGGGAGGGAGTGGCACACCTCATCAACAAGGGTATCTGCATAATGAACATTTGTATACCTAACCTGAATTGAACTCTACTACTTTAAACTTTAAAAAAAAATTTTTTTTTTTTTTGAGTTGGAGTCTCACTCAGTCACCCAGACTGGAGTGCAGTGGCCGCTCCCGGCCACCGCAGCCTCAACCTGCTGGGCTCCGGCGATCCTTCCGCCTCAGCCTTCTGAGTGACCGGAATTACAGGCATGCGCTACCACGCCCGGCTGATTTTTTGATTCATTGTAGAGTTGAGGTGTCACTGCCCAGGCGGGTCTCGAACCCGCCGGCTTAGGCAATCCATTCACCTCAGCCTCCCAAAGGCACAGGATTACAGGCTGAGCCACCGAGCCCGGCTTAAAAAATTTTTTTTAAAAAGAGCAGTCTAGTGCAATGTCCCTTCTCTGACAGCATTTCCTGATTGATTTCTTGTTACAGAAATGTTCAGAAAACAGCCTATTCCAAAGCTGACCAAACCAAATCATTCTTTTTCGAAACAAAAATCTGTAACTTTTTCAACTTGGCTTTATATATTTAAAGAAAACTATCATTTATGTCTCCCTAACTTTCCCTTTCTCCAAACTAAACATCATTAACTATTTCAACTGTTCCTCCAAAGTCCTTGTTTCTAGATAACTTGTCAGCTTAGTTGCTCTCCTCTAAACAAACTCTAGTTTGTAAGGGTACCAGTTGTGGCATGTTGTGGTACCCAGAACTGAAATCAGTGTTTCAGGTAGGGTATGACAGCAGAGCAGGAGGCTTAATTTTATTGATCTGGTCACCACATACAACACAAGATAGCATGTTTTGCTTTTTCCAATACCACTTTGTTGTCCATTAAGGTCTTTCTTAAATAGACTACTGTCAGAACAGGTAATTCCCCAACTTCCTCTATTTTGAAAAATACTTTATACTTCTATAACTTTATACTTACCACAACTGAATTGTATCTTCCTGGCTTTGGCAATAACAGTGAATCTTAATTCTGTCCCCCACTGTACTGAATCATCTACAAAAATGAGCATGGCTTCTGAAATGACTTTAACCAAGATGCCAGATGCTGACCAGAAAAACAAGGATAGATCCCTATGATATGATCCTACAGACTTCTCTCCAGATTGACAAGTGACCCATTTATTAACATGTTCTGAATACAGTTATTTAGCCCGTTGTAAATTCATAACCTGTACCTGCCCTACTAATGCCATGACAAATGTTCAAATACCTTGTTTATATCAAACATGTAGTCTATATCATTCCTCTAATCCAGAGGCTGGCAAACTTTTTCTGCGAAAGATCAGATAGTAAATTTTTGGCTTTGAGGTTATATGGTCTTAGTAGCAGGTACTCAATTCAGCCACTGTAGGGCAAAAGTAGTTATAGACAATATGGAAACAAATTGGTATGACCATGTTCCAATAAAACTTTTTATAAAAACAGGCGGCAGGAACACACCTGCAAATCTACCAGTCTGACAGGCATAACCAAAAAGAGAGAACCAGGGTAAGTTTGGAAAAATCTCTTCATAATAAGCCCACTGTTAAAAAACCCATTGTTTTAAGTGATTAGTATCTCCTTATCAAATAATCTGTCCCAGAACTTTGTTGCTGATTATCATTTGTAGTGTCTAGGTCTATTCTTTTCATTACTTTTTTTTTAGACACAGTTAGAGTCAGAGTCTCACTCTCACCCAGGCTGGAGTACAGGGGCATGATCATAGCCACCACAGCCTTGACCTGCTGGTCTCAGGTGATCATTCTGCCTCAGCCTTCCAAGTAGCTGGAATCACAGGCAGGCACCACCACGCCCGACCAATTTTGATTTATTGTAGAGATGAGGTCTCACCAAGTTGCCCAGGCTGGTCTTGAAACCCTGGACTCAGGCAATCCTCTTGCCTCCACCTCCCAAAGTGCTGGGATTACAGGCGTGAGCCATCATGCCCGGCTTTATTACTCTCCGGACAGGTAAAATAATACCTCCCACCTCAATTTCCTTATACGTCTATCCTCTACGATTTTTCTCGAATAATAAATGGCTCTATAATCATATGTGCTAGAACCATTTTTTCTAGATTAAAAGACAGAAATTATCAGAACCTAGAAACTTGAACTTATTTAAAGAGACTATCTGCTCTCTCTTCTCTCACCTACCTTGGCTTTAATTCTCTTTTTGGCGTTATTTCTTTTTCAGTTTGAAAATCATTTTCCTTTTCTAGAAAAGGCAGAAGCAACACATGAGCTAAACAGTCTGCCTTTCTTTCTAGCACCTGCTAGCATTACAATATTTTCTCTAAGCACTGAACTGAGTGTTATTCTTCTTACCCCAACAGAGAAGCAAATGATCTGTTAGTTGCCATTTTTCAAAAGGCTCGGTTTATTTTCCATTTTAGTCTAGTTTTATATTCATTCTTGGTTATATTTCCTGTTTTTTCCCATTTTCATACATACTGAGTAATTTTTTTAATTCTCATAAAATTACACTGACTTCTTCCTCTTATTCTTGCTTAGATTATTTGCAATTATATGACTATAATTTTCTCAGGCTATGAAATCTGTAGATCCTGAGCCTAGGCAACATGTCTGATGATGTTCAGCAATACTTTCAATCACTATTACTCACCAGACATTGTCTTATTAATTAATTTCCAAGTGACTGTTATCAATCAGGGTCTCTACCTCTCTGAGTAGAGTACTTGGCACAGTGGTAGGTATATATTAAATACATTTTTAAAAATTGAAGATTAATGGAAAAGACGTATTTTCTGTTCTCAGGGATCTCAAAATTAAAGGAAACAAATAATACAAACCTATCAATTATTAATAGTAAAGAAAGGTAAATGCATGTACACCCTAAGACTTCCTTAGGGTTTCCATTATGTACACTTATAAAACTTTCTTAGAAAACAATGATACGTAACTGGAAAAGGTTTTGATAGTCCTTATACAAGGGGAGACCCCAAAAAACCCAGAATTTATTTATCAAAAATTGTGCATTTATTCTTACATGTTTAAACTTCAGCTACCTTCAAAGTACTTTCCATCTGATGCAATACACCTATTGAGACACTTTTCCCAACAGTTTTTAAACTTGTCAATTTTGGTGCCTTTTAGTGCTTTTGCCATTTATTGTTTCACCTCTTCCACATCAGCAAAATGTTTTCTTTTGAGGATTTTCTTCATGTGAGAAGACAAAAAAAGCACTCAGGTGAGATCAGGTAAACAGGGAGGGCGGGGTACAGGGATCATGCTATTTTTGGTCAAAAACTGGTGAACTCTCAGTGCGGTATGAGCAGGTGCACTCATAAATGAGATGGGCAATCGCACTGAAAGAATCTCCAAAAAAAATTCACTGAGGCCAAACACAGTCTCTCACAACAATGCTAGCTGGTACACTGATGTCGATGGGTTCCTAGAACACTACCTAGCGAGGGAAACCTGTATAAGGGGCCTATCCTCTAAAAGATAATTCTGGGGTTTTTTGGTCCCACTTAGTAATTCAGCTATTAAATTCCAAAAGATTTAGCAGTATACTCCTAAACTTCTTAGGTATTGGGTCACAAGGCAGAGAGAGCAAGGAATTAGCATAAAATAGATAGTTCAAGTAAAACAACATTCTTGAATGAAAACTACTAAAGCACTGATTATATATAACACACTGATTTTATTTATCCATACCACAGGAGAAAAACAGATTTTTTTGTTTTTGTTTTGAGTCAGTCTTGCTGTCATCCAGGCTGGAGTGCAGTGGCATGCTCACAGCCACCGCAGCCTTGACCAGCTGGACTCAGGAAATCCTTCCAAGTAGCTGGAATTACAGGCACACGCCACCACGCCTGGCTAATTTTTTTATTTATTGTAGAGATGAGGTCTTGCCAAGTTGCCCAGGCTGGTTTTGAACCTGTAGGTTCAGGCAATCCTCTCACATCGGCCTCCCAAAGTGCTGGGATTACAAACGTGAGCCACCGCGCCTGGCCTTGGGTATCTTTTTTTTTTTTAAGTTGGAGTCTCACTCTGTCGCCCAGACTGGAGTGCAGTGGCCACTCCCAGACACCACAGCCTCGACCTGCTGGGCTCCGGCGATCCTTCCGCCTCAGCCTTCCAAGTAGCTGGAACTACAGGCGCGCACTACCACACCCGGCTAATTTTTTTGATTTATTGTAGAGATGAGGTCTCATCAAGTTGCCCAGGCGGGTCTTGAACCCGCGGGCTCAGGCAATTCACTCACCTCGGCCTCCCAAAGTGCTGGGATTACAGGCTGAGCCACCAAGCCCGGCCTCTTGGGTATTTTAACAACAGAAAACTCTTACATTACTTCAGCTGGCTTTAAAATTTTTTCAGAAAAATTACCTTATTATTTAAGTCTGTATGGACTAGTTATCAAAACTGTTTTGTAACACACCAAACACAAATTAACGCACAAATTAACTGACAGGCAAATGGAATCTACATAAATGTTGAATAGGAGTGAAGTGAGCCTAAGATGAAAAAATCACTACCCACCAGTGATAATTCATAAGTAGAGAACTACAGAAAAGCAATAACCATGATGCCATGAGTCTATATGAAATGTGAACTAGATTTCGGGGGCTCAAACCCTGGGTCCACCAGTTAATTCGAGTGAATCTGGGTAATTTTCTGTGCTCAGTTTCTTCATGTGAAAAATAGATAATAGGACCTAGTTCAAATTGTTTCAAGGATTCAGTAAGTTAAACCATGTATGTGCTTAAAAGAATAACTAGTTCATAGCACTCAAAAACCATCAGGCAGGGTTTCTTCTTATAGTCGCTTAAAAATAATATTTTATTAATTTATTTATTTTTGAGTTGGAGTCTCACTCTGTCGCCCAGACTGGAGTGCAGTGGCCACCCCCAGCCACTGCAGCCTCGCCTGCTAGGCTCCAGCGATCCTTCAGCCTTAGCCTTTCAAGTAGCCGGAATTACAGGCATGCGCTACCACGCCCGGCTGATTTTTTGGTTTATTGTAGAGATGAGGTCTCGCTGCCCAGGCAGGTCTCGAACCCGCGGGCTCAGGCAATCCACTCACCTCAGCCTCCCAAAGGCGCAGGATTACAGACTGAGCCACCGAGCCCGGCTTAAAAAATATTTTAATTAAGATACAAGACCCATGTAAATACATCCTCACAATTTCATATTATCTTTACTCAACTTTCTACTGCTAAAGTCGTTCTACTGCCTAAAAACTAATATATTAGTTATACTTAATTGTAAAAGATCTTTAATTCTCAAGTTCAATTAGTTTTGCTATCTAATCCCCACCATTCTCTTGGATAACAACATAATTTGAAAGAAATTCATGAGGTCACTTACTAGAGTTTAATCCATTCTAATCAAATAAGCTCTAAATTCACTTCAAGGTTGACAAAAATCACCCACATTAAGTTTAAACAGACTTCTCTCTAAATACTATTACTACTTTACTGGTGAAAAGTCCTTCCTAGTCAACAGGACATCTTCCTCATGAGTGTGATGACACACCCACAACATCAGACTATCATCTGGAGCCTAAGCAGTGGTTCAATTACAGCTAGAATGCCTAAGCAACGATATGCACAAAGTCCTAGGTATCAATGGAGAAGTCTTGCGAAGACTTCATTTAATGTCTTACTCATTCTGTATCAGGAAGAAAGGACAGTGAGTCACTTAGAAGCAAAATCCCTAGTCATTTTCAAGTCAGGGCCCTAAAGTCATTCTATCCACCTTAAATATATCCGAACTGCTCAGTGAAATCACCGAAGACTGCTGCCACCTGTATGTAAGGGGATACAATGAGAATTAAAAAACCAGGAAAAAAATTACAGATCACTATATTCAAACAAAAAATTATGAAGGAGTTTAAAGGACAAACTGCTAAAAAACTGAAGCTCAACAAGTTGTCAAGAAAACAAAACTGAATTATAGCACCAAAGAACTGAGTATGTGAATGCAGTCTCATGTTCCGTCAATCCAACAAAATTTTACCCAGCATTGCAAGTAAAAGCATTTCAGATACAATCCATTCATAGCACTTACCTGCAGCTTGTCCAGTCTTTGCCAAGAGAGACCCCAGTTCCAAGATGCTCTGCTCTTTGACCTGCACTGCCTCCTCATCATTTTCCTGAATGTCACGCTTCACTGGGAGAGGAAAATGCAACCCTCTTAAAATTCTGACCAAATCAATGAAGACTGAGGGAAATTTCACCCTCACAAGACTCATTACAAACTCCAACATATTTACCGAAAGACAAATTCTAGAGAGCTTAAAAAAAAAACCTCTAAACAAGAAAAAAATGATCATGTATATGTAGGACATGCCCCATGTAAATCATTTTAAAAGGATTCCTCTCTTTAATTTTAAATGTCCCTTTTCATTTTATCTATTAGAATTTCGCTTACCTACATGCATTGAGTGTTTGCTGTGATCACTTGGTTAAAGCAAAGTTAGAACAAATCCTTCATAGTTACGGTGCTAAGACCCATGCTAGTCAGGATGTTCTATAAAGATATTAAACATGCCTGTTTAATATTTACCTACCACAAGCTAAAACCAAAGGAACAAGTTACTGATGACCATAAAGTCAAAAGTCTTTCAATAAACTTTAGGTTTGTGCAAAGCCTCAGTAGATGGGTGTGTTAGGGATAAGCAGTTCTATAAAGCCATTCAGGAAAAACAACCCTATCAAAGCCCCATGTGATCCTGAACAGCTACACTTAAGAGAGACTGCTGCTTTATAATGGATTCTGGTCCTGTTAAAATAACTTTGTGCTATCTGTCCCACTTTCAACAGTTAATAAGTATTCTAACATTTGAACATCAAATAGCCTCTCCAAATTTTTAGTGATAATTTTAGTGATCATTACTACTTCTCTTACAAAGCATCATGACTTGACAAAAACCACGATTTTGATACTCCATAATGGAGTCCAGAAAAAGTAAGACTGTCAACCATCATGACTCAAGCCTGCTCTAACAGGGAAGCTTTCAGGGAGCTCTCTCCCAGTATAGTGGGTAAGCCAGAAACATTGTTATTATAACGTCTAACATAATTTCTACTTTATTAAAGGTAAAATATTAGGCACTAGGCACAGAAAATTAAAATTCATGCTTCTCACATTACTTCTAAATATTAGTATGTATTCACAGAACAAAATACATATGTAACAGTGATTGAGATGACTCTGGTTCTGTAAACTGACCTAAGTTAAAATCATAACTTCAAAATGAAACACCCTTTACCAATATCACTCAAATATGAATCTTAATGTCCACTTCTTCTCCTTCTCTAGTATCCCCGATGATAAATATCTTGTCATTGTCCTTTCACTGTGCAAAACTCAACACTAAAGAAATCAACATACATGCCAACATCCTGGAAGTACAACATACAGGTGCATTCTCACACTACTTGTTGATCCGATTCAAATCTTCTCAAGCTACATTTAAAAGACCACATTACTATATGTGCTAGTGAAGGGCTAGTCCATGCCCTAATTGAACGCTTTATTGAGTAAAAGCCTTCTCTGTCATCATAAATGTATTTCTATTCACACTTGAATCTCAGTAGAAAGCTGTCAGGAACGACTCGCTGGGACTCCCATTTCAGGTTTCCTGTTGCGTGCAGGTATAAGACAATCATACTAAGGTGTTAAGAACATTTTCTTTAGATTTTCCGGCAATGTGCAGTCGACCAGTTCCAAAGAGTTTCCCAAACTTCGCAACTGACAACTAACTCCCGGAATTCACTTCCAGTAGCTACAAGGGAGACTGGGAGGATTAGTCACCTCCTGTAGCCGGGCGGTCCCATTCCAACAATTCCAACACCTCACTCTTACACCCTACACAGGACAGAAGAACGTCTCGGTTACCTTCTCACACCAAATGCCAACCTCAGATGTGTGTCAACCCTGAATTTCCCATCTTCAAAAAGAGGCCCTCCTTTAGTGGATCCTTCCGCTGTGGGGCCGGGGAGAAGTAGCAAGCTCCCAGCGTCCCGAGGAAGGAAACTCCAAAAGAGCGAGCGCTCGCGCTCCCACCTCGAGCAGACTGTGCTGATAACAACGGCGGGAAATGCCTGTCCTGAGCGGGTTTTGCCAAGGCCTATCAACTAGACATTCTCAGACCAGTTCGTAACAAGCCCGCCGGCCGGCACTACTCCCGGTCCTGGGCCAGCTCGTGCGGGCCAGAGCGGGGGACAAGGCTAGGGAGGGGTGGGGGCCCGACTCGGCCCACTCTCCCACCCCAAGCCGAGCCCACCGTGAGTCAGCAGCCAGCGAGTGAACCGGGGGTTGCCTCGAGGCTTCCCACCAGAGTGGGACCCAGAGGTGTCCGGGGAGCTCTGAGCGGCCTGTGCCCCCTGCCCGGCCCCCCTCTCACACACACACACACACACACACACACACATACACACACAGTGAGTCAGCAGCACCAGAGCCGGCTAGCCCGGCCCCTCTCCGCTGCCACCGACCGACACAGGCCGGGCTGGGCCCGCAGGACCGGGGAGGCGGCGCGGTGACCTTTACCGATGGAGTGGAGGATGTCGATGGAGGCCTCCCGGTCGGTGCTGAGGAGAGACTGGGCTCTCTGGAACTCCACCACCGCCGCCGCCGCCATCTTACCGCTCTCACACCGTCCCCGGCCGCGGCCGCCGACGCCGGAAGCACACACCCGGAAGGTCCGCCCTCGCGACCCTCCTCCCCGTAACTCCCGCCTCTCTGTTCCCACAGCACTCCGGGAATTGTAGTCTCTCCGGGGCCGGACTGGGGTGAGGGGAAGGGCGGGAGCGCCTCGCAGGTGGGCTACAAGTTCCCTAGCACCGCCTAGAGGCTGTCCTGCGAAGAAAAGAGGCGGTGCCCAAGGACTGAAACCCAAAGTTAGTCACCACCCATCCCAAATGAGGTTTCTTATTTCCGACTCGCCTCGTTCACCCTTCACAGGAGTTTTTGAGCACCGGGCTAGGAACGCAGTGAAAGCTGTGTGGTTTTCCCTGTAACTTCTACGTTTACCATTCATTCGGGGCAATTGTCTTACAAAGTGCTCGCTATTGTGGCAAAGAATGGCACTATTCAAATACGCTTAAGCGTCTAACACCTGTGCGACACACACATGCACACACTCATACAAACATATCTACAAACTTTCCAGACTTGAATCCTACAGAATACTAGCCAGCCTGTGATTAAACCCACCGGCGTCAGAGAAAACTTGTCTTTCCCAAGCAGTCCATTTGATCTTGGGGTAACACTGGACATTATAAAAGTCTCATCTTTGCCCTGTGCACTCAATAAATACCTCTTGGGAATCACACAAAAGACTCATCCAGTTCCCCAGCTCAAAAAAAGAAAAGCTCCTTCAACTAAAATCACACAGATATCTGTAAGGATGTCATGTGGAAGGAAAAAAGACAGTCTATGTGACCACTTAGGGTTTAAGGAAGGTGTTAAAACTGTATAGAAGTAGTTCAACAAGCCGGGCTCGGTGGCTCAGCCTGTAATCCCGCGCCTTTGGGAGGCTGAGGTGAGTGGATTGCCTGAGCCCACGGGTTCGAGACCTGCCTGGGCAGCGAGACCTCATCTCTACAATAAATCAAAAAATCAGCAGGGCGTGGTAGCGCATGCCTGTAATTCCGGCTACTTGGAAGGCTGAGGCGGAAG